TAATTTCAGATGAAGCCAAACACTAGTGCTAATCGGGCTATTATGAAAATTTCTTCATCGCATTCCTTTTTCTCTTCCACTGTAACTTTTTGTTTGTGTGAACCATATGTCCCAAATTAATAAAGTCAGGCAGTAAACTGAACCCTCCTCACGCTGTCACTGCTTGTCACAGTAGAATGGGCCTAAAACCTATTCTCCCACTCCCGTTCTCTCTTCTTCTTTTCCTTCTTCTTCTTCTCTCTGTCTCTCTCTTTCTGTTCTTACTGTTTTTCCACAAGTGTCCCAGTTAAGAAATTGCTTACATCCCATTCAGTCTGGGGCTGGATCAAAATTTCCCATAGGGTATGTACCAATATGCAGAGAGCACACTTCGACAGATGCCATCAGAGAACAAGCATATGAATTACAGGCAGCCAGCCATCTTGAGTTCAGACAGAATGGCATTAATACCTGATTACGATCCAAACAACACCACAACAACAACATGAAAGCCAAAGCAACTGGGAGCAGGTAAAGGTTTCATCATTTATATATTAATGGATTTACTAACAAAGACTCTACTACCCCCTAAAAAGTTAAAATGTCATAGAAGCTGCCACCAATCAAGGAACTCTGGGGAAAAAAAAAATTAAAAAACCAATGTTAAGAAATCAGCCATCAGCAAATTACAATCCAATAAATTAAACATTCCTCACTAGTGACCATAACTTATTCAGAGGTTGTCAGCTATTCATTCCGACAATTAAAGAAAACACAATCCCTTTAATTTTAAATTGTTGTAAATATTGGCTTTACTCAATTAAGTCACATTTGACAGAAGATACCTGTAAATGAACTACATACACTGAACCTACATTATAGGTGGCAGCATTAAAGTTTCATTCATGTCTTTAGACAGGGCACTATTTTGTGGGAAACTTCTAATAAGTTATTTTTATATGCAAATGATACATGTTACACATCTATCCTTTTATAAATCACAAAAGGTGATTTGTAACATGGCTGTAAGGAAAAGACTTCAGTGTCATTTTAAAGAACAACAGCACTGGTTGTTCAGATGCCGTGATCTTTCCTTGATTTTATAAAAACTGTTTTTGCGCATAACACGGAATAAATCATTACCATATTAGATTTAAAAAAAAACAACAGTGGTATGAGTCAGTGTTCATAACACTTTCATGCAGTTTGAAATGCACTGAAAAACATTGAGTTGTTTATGAAGGTTGACAGCATATAACAAACATATTTTGTGATTTAGTTTGGACAACTAGTACAAAAAGAAGTCTGTAGCATGCAGCCCCACGCCATCAGTGAACATTTTAGAGGGATCAAAGAAACAAACAATATGCATCTCAGAGGATGCTGAGCCGATGCCCTTTGACACGGAAGGTCTCAGGGCCACAGCCAATCAGTGTCCATGTTCCTACCTTTGCCCAGATTTCTCTTCCTTTCATCATGTAGTATCTCATTGTATAAATAATACATATCTCAGCATCTTGTACATAAATATACTGTGTTGCATATTATATTTGCAAATACTGATATAGATAATATTGTGTTTTCATGAATAAAGAGATAACATCGGCTGATATTGGTTGATACTTCTTACAGCCAACATTTGCTAATATACTGGAGCTGATGTCCAGAAATGGGAGAAATGTTTTCTGACTGAACATAAAAAATATAAGTCATATCAGTGTATGTCACCTTTTCAAAACTGTAACTGATAATCGTGTTTAAAATCCTTGTAAAAGTGTGTCAGAAACGGCGCACGATGCGGCCGAAAAGTGTTAGGTGAACTCATTAAATGTTCAGACGAGGAAGTAATGAACATAACCTGTCTCTTTAATAAGAGCACTAACGTAAACAAAAAACCATACAAGACATGGTGGAAACACAATCTCACGGTCGGTATAACAGTCTGAGATCAGAGCCAGCAAACACATACATCCAGGGGAATCCAAAACGCGTTGTCCAAAGATACAGTGAGGAACAGAAGTATTTGAACACCCTGCAATTTTGCAAGTTCTCCCACTTAGAAATCATGGAGGGGTCTGAAATTCACATTGTATGTGCATTCCCACTCTGAGAGACAGAATAAAAAAAAATTTTCAGGAAATCACATTGTATGTTTTTTAAAGAATTTATTTGTCTTGCACTGCTGAACATAAGTATTTGAACACCTAAGAAACAGCAAGAATTCTGGCTCTCAAAGACCTGTTACTGTGCCTTGAAAAAGTCCACCTCTACTCCACTCATTAATCTAAATTAGTAGCACCTGTCTGAGCTCTTTAAAGACACCTGTCCACCCCACAGTCAGTCAGACGCCAACTACTACCATGGGCAAGACCAAAGAGCTGTCAAAAGACACCAGAGACAAAATTATGGACCTCCACAAGGCTGGAAAGGGCTACGGGGCAATTGCCAAGCAGCTTGGTGAAAACAGATCAACTGTTGGAGCAATTGTTAGAAAATGGAAGAGGCTAAAGACGACTGTCAATCTCCCTCGGACTGGGGCGCCATGCAAGATCTCACCTCGTGGGGTATCACTGATGATAAGAAAGGTGAGGAATCAGCCCAGAACTACAAGGGAGGAGCTGGTCAATGACATGAAGAGAGCTGGGACCACAGTTTCAAAGGTCACTGTCGGTAGAACACTACGCCGTCATGGTTTCAAATCATGCATTGCACAGAAGGTTCCCCTGCTCAAGTCATCACATGTCCAGGCCCGTCTGAAGTTTGCCAAAGACCATCTGGATGATCCAGAGGAGGCATGGGAGAAAGTCATGTGGTCAGATGAGACCAAAGTAGAACTTTTTGGTCTAAACTTCACTCGTCGTGTTTGGAGGAAAAAGAAGGATGAGATGCATCCCAAGAACACCAACCCTACTGTGAAGCATGGGGGTGGAAACATCATGCTGTGGGGGTGCTTTTCTGCGAAGGGGACAGGACGTCTGCACTATATTAAGGAGAGGATGAATGGGGCCATTTATTGTGAGATTTTGAGCAACAACCTCCTTCCCTCAGTCAGAGCATTGAAGATGGGTCGTGGCTGGGTCTTCCAACATGACAACGACCCGAAGCAACCGAAACCTGACAGATCTAGAGGAGATCTGTGTGGAGGAGTGGGCCAAAATCCCTGTTGCAGTGTGTGCAAACCTGGTCAAGAACTACAGGAAACGTTTGACCTCTGTAATTGCAAACAAAGGTTTCTGTACCAAATATTAACACTGATTTTCTCAGGTGTTCAAATACTTATGTTCAGCAGTGCAAGACAAATAAATTGTTTAAAAATCATACAATGTGATTTCCTGAATTTTTTTTTTAATTCTGTCTCTCAGAGTGGGAATGCACCTACAATGTGAATTTCAGACCCCTCCATGATTTCTAAGTGGGAGAACTTGCAAAATCGCAGGGTGTTCAAATACTTCTGTTCCTCACTGTAAGTTCGTTAAGCCGATACACAGAAGCAGTCCGAAATAAGAGGGCAAGGCAGAACAGAATAATCCAAGGAAGCAGTCCGGGTCAGAAACACAAAAATACCAATACCAAAGAGAATGCTGGAAAGTCAGAGCTGGGGTCTAGAACAATCTGGCAGTGGCCTGGTGGGACACTGCCAGATTGGGACACGCTGCCTAAATAGAAGTAAAAAAAACAGGTGCAAACAATAAGGAGAAGGTGAACTAATGATGATCAAGTAAAAAGGGACAAAACTGAGGTGAAACAAAACAGGAAGTAATGTGAAAATAAAAGCATGACAGGAAGCAAGAGGGGCAGGAGCGTGACAAAGTGCCCACTGAGAATTGTAAAGCTTCATATACTTCAGAGTTCCTCTTTGATTTCATGCTATTTCGATGTAAAAGTAAAATAGAATCCACATCGTCACCAATATTTGACCAAATGTAGTTTTTTTTCATGATTTTTTTTGCTTAATATATTCAGCCATTTTTTAAACAAATATTTGCTGATTTCTGCCAGGCACAGCAGGAAGAGCATATGAATTTTTTAATTGAGTGGTTTTCCCCTCTAAGCAGCTGCTGTGTCAGCACTTCGGCAGTGGGAAAGACAGACTGTGATGACTGTAAAAGCCCCCTTCCTGCTCTCAGTGCTCATCATGATAAATGGTCCATTTTGGAATCTATAATGGATGCTCATATAGAAGCACTCTTCTCTCTTGGCATTGAACTGGCGTCTTTCTTCATCCAGGCATTTAGTCATCTCATAGTGTGCTGTCTGTTTTGGATGTGATGTTTTTGTTTGTTATGTTTTTTTTCTTGCATGAAAATAAAACCAATTAACTGGATTTTCTAGCTGTTAATATATTGTAATTATATTTTTGGTAATTAAAGGGAATACTTGCCTAGACTTAATCATATTTTCACTAATTTATCATTTACCACACAGTGATTATCTAGCTTTTATAGCTAAAATAAAGTTACACACTGCACACTGCAGTTGAAGTTCACACATTGCAGGAGAAAAATAGTGTGATGTGGTTCAGCCACCCACACAGTGGTTAGGCCCTCTTCCCGTCTCAATTCCCCCCTCTCAACTGTAAGAAACATAACAGCACAAAATGGACCCCGACTTCCTTGTGCCTTCCTCCCTCCAGTAAAATCTCTGCTTCCTTTTGTGTGAAGAAACCATTGCATGTAGACATAATGTGAGCCAGAGAGGGATTGAAAGAAAAGGTATGAAGGGATTTAAGGAAAGGGGCAGCCTGAAGGGGCTTTGGGCTCCCAGATGCCCCTACCCTTGCACATGTTAATGTATATGTGTGTGTGCTGCTGTGTCTTGGAGAAGACTGTCAGCAGGCGGTGCCTCTGAAGGCGGGGGGGTTCCAAAGGGGGCCCAGTCTGTTACCGAAGGGAGGTGGAGATTTACTATCCCACCCAGTCAAAGTGTGTGTCTAAATGGTGCTCTGACACACACACACACACACACACAGTCAGAGATACACACAACCTCACACACACTGGAGCACACGCACACTCAGACATACTCCAAACTCTCCACAGGAAACTCTGAGCCATAATGCAAAGGCACCTCAGAGCAGACGGGTGCATTGCTCAAACCAAGTGGGATACGGTGCAGCTTTGATAGTGCGTTAATTACTCATGTGATGTGATACAGATGTCTAGGGGCTTCAGCCGATAGTTTGTCTGACGGTTTCCAAGGGGGCCAGGCAGACATTTTAGAAGCGGTAGGTGAAAACCAAATGTATTTATTATTTATGGATAGAGCGGTTTGCATGCTGTCACAGATCCCTGCAGTGTCGCGCTGATGCTAAACAGTGATGCTACTTGAAGGGCTGATTGCTAAATAGTTCTTTGTGTACTCGATGACAGCTGGGACTTTGAACAGGAGGAACTCTGGGCTATAAGAGTTGCCTGTACTGTGATGTGATGAAAAGGGCTTCACTATCAATCTGACAGTTTGAAATTTTATCTGCTCTTTACCAGGAATCTTGTGCAATGAGTTATTCAAATTTTGTCCAGAAAGTTTCCTGTTAAAAGGCTGTAAAGGCATCTATAAATAATAACGAGCTAAGTATCCAAAGTATATATTTTTTGTGGATGTGGATCTTGATCTGACTTTTAATTTAACCTCTGTGTTTGTTTTGCACAGCTGACTGATACTCAGCCCTGCAGCACTTCTTTCATGGTTAAAAATGCTTTTTGTTTTCTAACTATATGTTTAAACCTTTCGAACTAGAAACAGGGAGCATGCAAAACTAAAAACACCATTCAGTTGCAAAGTCAAAGACAGGGCTCCTTGTCAAACCAGCACAAGCAGACATAAAGCCTTGTTGGGTAGCTGCAACATTACCGACACAAACTGCTCCTTCTGCCCACTGTACTCTGCCGATTCCTCATCCTTCCTGTCTGAATGTAACTAGCCCTGACATCCAGCATCTGTGCCCCCTTTGCCAAATCTTTTTGAAGTCTTGAAGAATTTTGTTAAACTTCTTCAGAGCATTTGAAAGGGACAGTAGTACTGTCAGATTTTCTGGTAAATGACAGATAATATTCCACTTTGCTTAGATTTAAAGTGGAGACAAAATGATTAAATGGGTGCTGGATTTTTTTTTCTTACTGTAAGTGGTGTCACCTGAAAAATAACAAATTTTCCTTCCTTATTTGTTTTTCTTTTCTCACCAGCGATATATCAGGACAGGCTTTTAATCAGCGTAATCAAAGCACTGACTGTATTCCATAATGGGCACCCCAGCTGTGCCTATGTTGGTGCTAATGGCCTGTATGGTGGCCAGAGGAATGTGCCAGGTAAACAGAGCTGAAGCAGGGAAGGACTCCCTCCAAGGCTTTCCCGTCCACTCCACCCTCCAGGCTCAGGAATTCTACAGCACCGTCAGTCCCAGCATGGGGCCCAGTCTTCACCCAAGGGCCCAAGAGGCTGACGCACAAGCTGTGGGATCTGGCTCTACAAATAAAACTGTCATGAAGACCCTGATACTTCCAACGTGTGAACAAGAAACGACTATCAACCACTATTTTAAGTACATCAACACCGTGATTTCTGTTATAGTGTTTGTGGTCGGCCTGGTCGGCAACACCACCCTTCTGAGGATTATTTACCAGCACAAGTGCATGAGAAATGGGCCCAATGCTCTCATTGCCAGCCTGGCACTGGGTGACCTTATCTACATTTTCATTGCTATACCCATCCATGTATACAAGGTAGTGTTTCTAGTCTATTGGTGCATGTTTAACTCCTAAAGTCATTTACAGCCAAGCTGCCGAGTAAGAGGTCTCTGTGTTGATGAAATACAGCAATAAGGGAGGTGATGTGCAGAGATAAAGTGGAATATTACAGATTGGAAAAGGTGGGAAGTGGGAAAGGCATGTAAAGGAGTGTGCACATAGACAGGAAAGGTTAATCAGTCAGACACTGTTATCTTCCTTGTGTGGGCAAATTAGTCATGAGAGGACGAGGGGAAGGACTGGCTTAAATAAACCCAGGAGCAAGACTGTAGTCACACAAACCAGTGGCCTTGTGCTGATCTGCAGCAATAGTCACTGACCCTTATCTAGAGGCTTTATTGTTAAAAATAAATTCAGACTTACTCAAGTGGTAAACCACTTGTGGAGTTTTTAGCTCTGTTCTTCACTAAATCCCCATTCAAAAGGTTTTCAGCTAAATATTATTTACATATATAACTGACTTATACTGTACTTAATTAGTATGTACATGATAGTTTATTTATTTTAATCCTGTGTTTACGAACACAAGCCTGAACACGATTAGAAAATATTAATAATATTTGTCTAATAAAGCCATTTTCATACATGAACTCTAGACAATGTCCAGACAAATCAGGCCTGGACTTTGTCCAGAGTAACCCTTTCACACATGTAGCACGCAAGACGAAGTGTTCTTGTTATGCAGGGGGCTGGGTAGAGCGCACAGGAAGTAGGACATGATGCAGTCACGTAGCTCGTTTGTCATTTGGTCATAAACAACCGAGTCTCTTGCCAAACCTTACAGTTGTCTAACGACCATAGTTCTTAACGACTGAGATTCCTGAATCTCATCGTGTCTCCTGTTAAATATTTTCATTGGCATGTTCACTGTAAATGACCTCTTTTCTTCGCCATTCGATGTTTGTATTCTTCCGGTTTCAAGCCGTTCACATCACTACCCCCATACTGGCTCCGTGAGAACGCTACAGACTACACGCTGTTGTTTTTTCACGCGGGCTCATTCTGGCTGACCTAAAAATAACACGCACTTTGTACTATGCAGTATGCAGGATAAAGTCCGCTTAAAGTATGGGTCAATTAACTCAGACATTTGCGTTTTCACCTACAGCTCCCCCGGGTAATGTCTAGATAATTTGAGGGTTCCAGCGCATGTCTAAAAAGGAGCTTCAAGACAGTTGTTTCATGAGTTTTAGTGCATTGGAAAGACCTTAATCAATCAGGCAACTGTGTTATTATTACTGGTGACAGGATGACTCTTATTTACACTTGGACTATAAATTATGCCTTTAAGACATGAAGTGTTTTTAATGATGATAAATTATTCTTTTGGTTCCTGTTAACAACATCATCCTTTGTAAAATACTCAAGACTGAAGCGATCACTCCTGATCTTTCGAATGCCTTCTGGAACGTCATTTTATGACTGAAAAATGAGGAGGACACCTGATTAAAATTAACTTGGGACTTTGAGGACACAGTGACTTTGTTGTTTCAACAACATGTGCAAAAAGGAAACAAACGTCTTACTAGGGGGAGTAGTTTCTGCAGAAACAAAGAAAGAGCCACATGTGCAATGTTGAAACCATACTGAAGCCCCCATTCACGTTGTTGGGGCTACATTTCCAAAAATAATCAGCTCTTCTGAGCTCCTGGGAAACTTAAGCTGCACACGTAAACAATAAAGGGCCAAGAAGAACCATGAACTCCTTTGTTTGGCTTCGCCTTTGAGAAAATGATTCTGTGCAGGGTGGGTCCTACTGTATGAAGGAAAAGTGCCAAGACCACTTTGAAGGCATAACAATGGTCTCTGCTCATGTGCCCTTTAATTAACCAAAGGAAGTAATATTATAAGTGTTTGTAGAAATGGCACTTTAATACTAATGATGGCAAGGTGAGGTGTTATTCAAGTTTAGTTCTCAGTGTTGCCAGGTATTATGTTTACAGGAAATGTGAGGGTTTAGCAAAAGTTGTGGAAAGTTTTATCTGATGCTTAATGAGCTCCATATGGTCCATATCAGACTGCACTCGTTCTGAGGTTAAGATGACATTGAGAGTTCCTTGATGTGTTTCCATCCACAGTAGAATTTCCATAAATAGATGTAAATGGTGGTTTGCATTGATTCAGTTGCCAAAGAGAGATTAATAGTCAGCTCCCTAAAAATTCATAAAGACATAATTACTAAATTAAAATCACTTCTTTTGTACTGATCATCAACTAATCTAAACAATGATCTTAAGAAAATGTATATTAATGTGCATGATGTGATGAATGTTGGATAATAAATGTTGTTCTTTAAATCCTTTGAGATCTGTACTGATCTCAAAATTATGCCTTTTTTCTATCAGCTCCTGGCGTCACACTGGCCGTTTGACGACAACATTGTCGGCCAGTGTTTGTGTAAGCTTCTGCCCTTCCTGCAGAAAGCCTCTGTGGGCATCACTGTTCTCAACCTGTGTGCCCTCAGCGTGGACAGGTCAGTGCCATCACACTCCACACTGCTCCATGCTGCATTTGTGCTGTCGTGTCTGATATAATCTACATTTAAAGTCGGTTTTTAACTTCCTAACTGTTTCTTGTTCTTATAAAGAATGTTCTATTTGCAGTGGTTAAAGTAACTAAGTACCTTTACTCAAGTTCTGCACTTAAGTACATTTTTGAGGTATTTGTACTTTACTTGAGTATTTCCCTTTCTTGCTATTTCATACTTGGGCTTCACTATATTTAAGAGGTGAGTATTGCACTTTTTACTGCAATTCACATATTTGCTAACTTCTCAGTCACATGAATAAAACAAAATACAATATAATCACTAAACTTTATCGATCCTTCGTGGGAACGTCACAAGCTACCCTGCAGTATTTATAGTATAAGGTATAAAGTAGTTAATGTAAAAGTAGTTAAAGTATAAGGTAGTTAGTTGCACCTTTACAAGGTCCAACGTTAATGTGATGAACACAATAATGTATCAATAATTACAATCCAATAATAGAATATACATTAATGTGAAATGTGCCATTGTGCATAATGAGTACTTTTACTTTTGAATGCAGGACTTTTACTTGCACTGTGGTACTACTACTTTTGCTTAAGTAAAGGACTGCAGTACTTCTTCCAACACTGCCTACTTGTGTTTTGATCATTCCATTGAGACATTCTGAAAAGCAGCGCTAAAGTTACATAGTCTTGTAAAGTCAACATCATATCTGTGTAGAAGCACAGTGTTCCAGAGAGTTTTTTAAAAAGTTTAATTAGGAGAATCCTAAGGTCACTACTACTGATGTATCTTCCTTAGGGTTAGTCATCTTTATGCTCAGCTTTTTTGCTCCTTCAGTTTTCAAATCTTATGTAATAAGTTATTTTCTAAAGAAGTTCTTTAATTCTTCAATGGAACTATTTTACATTCAACATAATATGGGAACACTATGATGTCAATATTAAAACCTTTTTCTTCATAGCAAGTACACTGACAAGTGCTTTTTAATAGTGCCTTAATAGAAATTCTCTGATGAATAAATTATGAAGAGCTGAAGCTCAGTGTCATCTCATTTTATGCACTAAACACAACTTTAGAGCTAAGAGGCCGGCTTGCCTGTTCTGAATTGGCTCCACGGTTCAACTAGGCAGGCATATTTAATGTCCTCTATTATGAGAGAAAGGCGTGCTGCAGTGCTGTATAGCTGAATTCAAGAGCAGAAAATTTTGATTTTGATTTGATTTATTCTATCAAGCATGTAAAGACAGTTGATATGTCAACACACATAATTTTACACATATCCAACAAATGCTAATCCAATGTGTAGCATATCATTGTTTATGAGTATTATGAAAGTACTTCAGCATTGTTTGTATCCTTTCAATTTTGGAGGCAGAGGAAAAGGTGAATATATTACCACTTAGTAAAATATAAATGCTGCCATGTTGTTCAACAGAGAAATTCAAATGTGTCATGAAAAATATATTGTTTTTGCCATAAAATCTTGATGCAAGATTTTACTAAAACATTTCAACAAGTGATTTCCATTAATGAAACAAACGAGCAAACAAGTAGGTGCAGGGGAACACAAGCCAACAAACAGACCTTTCTGCCAACATGGACCTGTCTGTCTGGAGGCTTCGCTAAAATATAAATATGAGAGATTTTAAATAAAGAATGGATCATCTCTTTACATTAATTCTTAGTATTTTGAAATTCTTTGCTGACTGAGCATTTTGGTGTGTTTAGTGTGCTGACATGCATAAAGAAAATGTTGTTAGCTTTGGTAGTCGGGGAGACACAGCACTTCACTGATTTCTATTTAAGTACATAGCAGCAAATGAACTACTGCAGACTCTTTTTAAATTAATAAACTGAATTTTCTTTTTCATAACATGGAAATAATATATTTTATTTTATATCTTATTATTTCAATTTTAGTACTATACCATAATATTTCCTGCAATAACTCTACTCATATTTGTAACAATTTAATCAGTTTGATATGTTTAAAACCATTTATGCACACGCTCTTCTTCTGGCTCACTGTTGATGTAAAAATGTGCAATAGCACCCCTGTGGTGGCAAAATCTGACAGGTCACAAATTTCGGTGTAACACCGCCGCTGTTTAATGGCCCAAATGACCAACAATCTGCTTCCCGACCGCTTGGATGGATTTCTGGCAGCTCTACGGTCCAAAGTTAGTTCAGTGCACTTGCATGAGTACAAAGACAACAACATTACAACATGGCGAAGACAAACTCAACTGAAGAAAGGCCAGACTGCATAAAATATATTTATGATATGTATATAGAGGAGGCTAATCGAGCTCTGGCAGCACCACACTGTACAATGTGTCATCAAAACGTTGTCATGCTGCAGCAACAGGGGAAATACTTGTGTTTAATAATAAACTACAAAGTGTTACCTTTCAAAAGACCAGGGACATCAACGTAGTCCTCAGGGTACACAGTTAACTTTGTGCACTTTCCTGTGTCACAGGTACAGGGCTGTGGCATCGTGGAGCAGAGTGCAGGGGGTGGGCATCCCTCGGTTCACAGTCATTGAGATTATCTCTATTTGGGTGCTATCACTCATCCTGGCAGTGCCGGAGGCTATTGTCTTTGACATAGTCCCCTTCCCCTATGGAAACAAAACCCTGCGCTCCTGCATGCTTAACCCCAAGACTGACTTCATGAAGGTATGCTATCACCCTTTTGTTGAGTAAGAAAATAGCAGTTGTGCTTTGTTGTTTTGCATGCATTTAGGCCATGATGTGCTATATGGAGCAATTACACGGATGAGCTGCTGAATTTGTTATACAGAGACAAAACATTACTGGACTATTCCAATATAAAACTCACCTGCAACAGAATTATTTAGAATGAAAGTGCAAACAGGGGCAAAACAGAAACTTCTCTCACAGCTTTATCTAAAGTCAAGGGGCATAGATGAGCAAAAATAACATGAAAAGTTCCATCAGCGCTTGCAGTGTATGGAACACATGGCACATATATTTAGAGCATTAGCTCAATTAAAATTAGTCACCTGCAGTATGTCCTGCTTGGCCCACAAATAATCAGAAACAGGAAAATTTGAATACAGCCCAGTGATATTTAAGGAGCTGCCACTATGTCCAAATTCCCCTTTAAAGTCAGGAGATGAGCATTTGATGCTAAAAGGAGTATGTGGTTGGAGTATCACTTCAGAAAAATAAACTAGGTCTACTTACCCTCTTCTAGTGACCGTGGCCTTTTTCATGCCATTGAAGCACATACAGGTAATTGATTACAGGCCAAGTGTATTTACCGTGTCCTGAAGTCTGGGGCCTCAGGCTGAGCCACATGTGTGTATCTATTCCATATGTACAAAGCTGGAGTAATTGGACTTAAATATCAGCAATACAAAGCCTACACCTCTTAACAGCATTATTTAATAGCAATGAAATAGCACATTTTCTCTTTAATAGATGTTCTCACCAAAGTTTACTTTTGTTCGGTCTGAATTAAATCAGGGCCAGGAAGGTGGTGGGCTTTTGTGGAAAGAGGATAGGACAGCATAGAGGATTTGTGTGGGGGAAGTCATTGGAGTAGGTGAAAATGTATGACTCAGAATAGCTCAATATCTACAGGGTCAGGGAGTCATTTGTGCATTTATTTCAGTTTCACAGTAATTGAGCACTTCACACTTGCTTGTCTCTGTAGTTCTACACAAATGCAAAGGACTGGTGGCTGTTTGGCTTCTACTTTTGTGTACCACTGACATTAACTGCAGTCTTCTACACTCTGATGGCCTGCGAGATGCTCAACCACAGGAAAGGCAGCCTTCGGATAGCTCTCAGTGAGCATCTCAAACAGGTTGGAGTACACTTCTGAAAAATACCACATCCCTAACATCTAACAAATCCTTATTATGTTGGGTGTTTAGCCAATTAAAAGCACGTAAACATTTGATGTGTCTTTATCATCTCAGGCAACTTTGTGTGTGAGTAAAATGAGGATGCATCAGCTCAGTAAACAGTGTTTATTCCCCAGTTCTAACCTGTAACACAAACTTTGTCATCTCTCCACTGATTGTGAAGCGTATTTTCTGTTGTTTCTCTCTGCAGAGAAGGGAGGTGGCCAAAGCTGTTTTCTGCCTTGTCCTTATATTTGCCCTCTGCTGGTTCCCACTGCACCTCGGCAGGATCCTTAAAAAAGTGTTTTACTACCCAAATGATCCGATGCGCTGTGAGCTGCTAAAGTGAGTTAGTGGTAGAACAACTCTGACACATGATTCTGTGGTTGTAATATTGAAATAGCATCCAAAAAGGCATCTGTGGTGCTCCTTGATCATACTAGTAATCAATCTTTCATCTATTTTCAGTTTCCTGTTGGTCATGAATTACCTTAGTATCAACCTTGCAACAGTCAACTCCTGCATAAACCCCATTATCCTCTACTTTGTCAGCAAGAAATTCAAAAACTGCTTC